CTAAACCCTAAACCCTAAGCGAGGCTCCCGTGTGTCAGGCACCCGAAGCTGCTCGTCAAGGCCTCTGTGCAGCTCAGGGCTTAGAGGCCCGGACGGGTTTCTGTTTAGGGTTTAGGGTGTAGTGTCTCTGGTCTTTTGATTTAGGGTGTACGGTTTAGGGTTTAGGGTTTAGGGTTTACGGTTTAGGTGGGTTTATGTTGTGGGTTTGCTTTGCCTCCTGCATGGCGGGGCTCGGCGCAGAGGCTTAGGGAATCAAGTGCATCCAATGTGTTCGGAACCGGTGTAGAAAGACTTTAAGATCAGCAGTCTCGGGTCGAAATTGTTTAGACTACATCTTCGAGTTGGGGTGCTGCTTCTGCAAGTTGCAAGAGCCCTGAAAGCGCTGGCCCACGTATTCGGGACTCAACGCCGTTTGCACAGTACTTCTAAGTCTATATTCCAATCAGTTACAAAGAGAGAAGGAGAGAAAGAGAGAGAGAGAGAGCGAGAGAAAAACTAAAAATATAAAAACTGAAACCCTAACCCTTCAACCCCAAACCCTAACCCGTAGAAGCACTCACTCGAAAGCCCCCCTAACCCGTAGAAACACGAACTCATACTAAACCCTAAACCCTAAACCCTAAACCCTACTTGGTACCGAAGACCCCGGCACCTCGGCCCAGCGCACGCTGCGCGCGAAGGTGCCGGCCAAATGGGTGAGCCAAACCTTGGGCTCTGTATTAGGGTTTAGGGTTTAGGGTTCAGGGTTTAGGGCTTGTGGTTTGGGGCTTGACAGCTCGAAGTTTATGGCTTAAGGCTTGCGGCTTAAGGCGTAGGGCTTGGGGTTCGGGCTTCGGGCTTCGAGCTGCAATCCAAAGCATGCAAACTCTCCTCGGTTCAGGGTTTAGGGTTTAGGGTGTAGGGTTTAGGACCCCTTCGCCTTGCAAACAGGAACATGCCAGGATCTCGCCCCGAAGATCAAACGCAGCTTGCAGAAACATCGCACGATGCACACCCAGCTTTGAAAGTCTCTGAAACATACAGTCTGTGTGGCCAAAAACTGGCAAAACAGCACTGGTGCTTAGACAAATCCTGGGGTGTTCTTTGCCTGCACTTGGCGTGCTAGTGATCTTCACTCTTGCTCTGAGTAGTCTTGGAATGTTGTTGCGGCGATCCTCTTGTTTAGGGTTTAGGGTTTAGGGCCTTGGGGGTTGATATATTGTAGCTGTAATGTGACTGGAATATAACTATAAAAAAACCTATAATATGATTATAACATGACTACAATGTGACTCCAGTATATCTATGATATAACTATGATATACCTATGATATGACTATAACCTACCGATAATCGGCTATAGATAACTGTGATATAACTCTAAACCCTACCCAATTCTGACGATCCGGGGACGTTGGAGCACCTCCAGCAGGGATATGAGGTTAATGCGTAAACCCTAAAACTTGGGGAGTGGGATGTTTCGGGTTCAAGGCATGGGCTTAGGGTGTAGGGTTCAGGGTTTAGGGTTAGGGTTTAGGGTTCAGGGTTTAGGGTTCAGGGTTTGGCGTTTAGAGGCATCTCGGAAACAACCAGAAATTCCTTTTGCTGAGCCACCACAGTAGGCCGAATGTTGGCGCAGCGCATGCCTGAAGTCGAGGTGCCAGCAGGAATCTTAGGGTTTGGTGCTTCTTTGTGGCCCTGAAGAGTGGGATTTCGGGGTTTACTGGCATACCACGGATGAGACACCAGAAAACCTTTTCAGCACGGACTGAGGTGCCGGCCTTCGCCTATGCAATCCTCACCCCTTCTGAAGAAACCCTAAACCCTCAACCCTATATCAGGTCTTTGGAAAACCGCGTGTTGCATCCGAAGATAACCGAGCTCAGACTTACTCCGGGAGCTTAGGTCTAGGGCCATGGTAGGTATATAGAATTTTGGCTCCCGCATGAATAGTTAGTACCGTTATATTCTGAAATCCTAACAAGTAGTATTTGTAATTATTCAAGCTTCCATGCTATAACATTATGACCATTAAATCCTCAACCCTGACCATGGCAACCTCACCACCAAGACCCAAAGCCTAGCCTTAGGATCAGGTCCAATTCCGCCGCCGCTGCCCCCCGAAAACACACAAAACACCCAACACAGCACTCCGCTGACCTTGCGAAGTCTGTAGCATATCCTCTGTCTGTAGCATATCCTCTACGCTCTAGACTACAGAAGATGCGACAGGACGCCTGAAAAGTTCATGAAAACAAAAGTCAGACAACGAGTAACACCGCCAATCGTCTGTATCATCATCATCGTGATGATGAGACAAGTGGTACAGCACACCCAAAAAATCTAATTCTGGCAAGCGCATACTTCGTGCCGGTTTTCCTCCGGACCGTGATTGTCCGACTTCGTGGACGTCACTGGAAGAAGAGCTTTGCAGTTCGCTCAGGTCTTCGGAGCAACGGGCTGAGAGCGCAAATGAGTTGTGAGTTGCGATAGCCTCCCTTGTCTTGGAGATGAGGTTAGAGCTTCAGAGTTTAGGGTTCAGGGTTTAGGGTTTAGGGTTTAGGGCCGAGGGTGCTTGAAGACAGGGGCACATGGCCGCACATTGCCGCTCAATCACGCAGCCTCGAATCGGCCGCTAGACTCCCCAAACAGACCCACCCCCGTGCCTGAGAACGCCTGCACAGCGGCGGCCCAGAGACGCTGGGAGGAGCGCACGTACGCAAACAGCCTCGGCGGTAGCTTGGCTTCAACGAGGCCATAGGACAGTCTTTTTGATGCACTGTTGAAGGTTAGGGTACTAAAGGGCTTTCGGGTCTAAGGTATAAGAGGTATTCAAAGTAAGTGACCCCCTTCATCACAGAAAACGACCCCTATAGAGTTTTGTATTGTAAAGTTTGGACGAGGTCTTGGTCTTCGGGAGTGGGTACTCTATGCTTCAATTCGCTGGCTGCTTGCATATAAGGCATTAGATATGTCTACAGTACTCAGTCTTCCCAGAAAACGGCACATGAAAATAGCAAGGTTGAAATGCTACACAGTCTGTCCGAATTTTCCGCATGTCCTCCAAGTGAAGGTTAGAAGACAACCCCCGGAGCCAGGATTGCATGATGAAAACCGAGACCCCGGAGCTCCGAAAATCACTTCTTTGGACCCTGAACCCTTACCCCTGCAGTGCTAAGGGCCGAAAGTTTCTTATAATGGAGTAGTGCGCACATGAAGGAATACGAAGGAAGACTATCTGCGCTTGGCTGAAACGTTGTAGTAGGCACTGGCGACAAGAACGGATTCCTTACAGGGCGCGCTAACTTTGAAGGACTGGTATGGCAGGCTAGTGTTTCTGAGACCCGTATGCTGGGTCAAGCAGTGTGCAGATCAGCCGCACGTTGCTCACGACGTCCGCATCTTCTTTGAGTCCTCCGGTGCAGGTTTGAAGTGGGAGCTCCCTGAACAGCACCTAAAGCCCTACACCCTGAAGACCTAAACCCAAACCCAACCCCAACACCCCAAACCCAACCCTAAAACCTGAACAATGGATTTCGGGGTTTCGAGCAGACAGCCCGAGTCCGAACCCGAAAATAGCAGTCCGAATCCTGAAATAGTAGTCCGAACCCTATGACCCTAAACATATAGTCCGAGCGCTAAAATAAGCAGTCCGAATCCTAAATAGTACTCTGCACCCTATAATAATAATAATAGTCCGAATCCTCCAAAAAATAATCCGAACCTCAAAACAGTCCGAATCCTGAATAGTAGTCCAAATCCAAAGAAAAGTCCGAACCCTAAATTAATAGTCCGAACCCTGAATTAGTAGCTCGAAACGTAAAATAATAGCCCGAACCCTAAAATAATAGTCCGAATCCTAACACAATAATTAGTCCGAACCCTGAAACAATAGCCCGAACCCCAAAATAGTAGTCCGAGCCCGAAAATAGTAGTCCGAATCCTAAAACATAGTCCGGACCCGAAAATAATAGCCCGAACCCTAAAATAGCAGCCCGAACCCTAAAATGGTCGTCCGAATCCTAAAGTAGTAGACCGAACCCGAAAATAATAGTCCGATATTCCTGAAAAATAGTCCGAAGCCCAACATAGCAGGCCCAATCCTAAACCAGTTGTCCCAAGGCTGAAGTCATAGTCCGAATCCTAAAGAATAGTCCGAACCTGAATCCAAAAGGGAGTCCAAATGCTCCGAACCCTGAAATAAAGTCCGAGCCCTAAAACAGTAGTCAAAATCCCAAAGTAGAATGCCGAACCGTAGGGATCCGTTCATGTTCTGTTTTGGGTCCCGTGTACATTCTGAATCTGAACCCTAAGATACTAGTCCGAACCGTGAAATAGCACTGCGAATAGTACAACAATAGTCCAAACCCTGAAACAGTAATCCCAGAAGCCCGCCTACACTTCGGAGGTCGCTCCAGAATCTCAAGGACCTTCGCCACTGGGCCGGGCTCGCGCAAGCGTGGATGGCGTAACCTCCGTCTAGGGTTTAGGGTTTAGGATTTAGGGTGAGGGCTCCTATACAAAGAGGAAACTTTAAAGGAACCCTGAAAAGAGCCCTGAAGGAACCCTTGAAGGAGCCCTATTAGGGTTCTGGAGGGGAACCTTTAAAGGCTTTAATGAGGCTTGTATAAGAGTCCTACTTAAGGGTCCTGCAGGGCTCGACACAGATTAGGGTTTCGTGTTTTAAAGTTTTTTTCAGTTCTTTCAGGGCCCTGTCAGGGTCCCTTACAGAGCATGTGTGGGGTTTGGCGTTTGTAACGGCTCTTCTGGGGTTTAGGGTTGAGGTTCATCGGGCTTCTGGGTCTAAGTGTTCGTGGGATTTCACGGTTGGTGTCTAGTCGCTAACCAGGGGGTCTTGGTTCAACAAAGGGTTCCCAGAGAGCTTGCAGAATCCAAATCCTTTCGGGGAACAAAGAACTTATGCTTCACATCATTCATACGAGGGTCTCTGGCTCCGGGTCTGGAGAACAGTTTGGGTCACATTGTCCTTATGACTTTCAATAGGGAGCAGAGCAGGTCCACCATTTCGACCATCCGAACCCACTGACAGTCGGCAGACAACTCAACACTAAGCCCATTTTGTTGCATCCAGGCCTCTGGCGAAACACCAAGCGCCCAAGAAGACAAAACCCCCCACCCCAAACCCTAAACTTTTAAACCCGAAAAAAACCCGTCGCAGTATGATGTTGGGTCACTGAGTGATTCGGAGGACAGCCGCAGCTGCCGCCTTCGCACTAGCGCCAGGAAGTCGCGAGCCTTCGGCTGCTGAAGACAGCACTGGCTCTGAAGGTAGCACCGGCTCTGCTATTGTTATAACTATCATTACAATCACTACTAGCATTATTAATAGTAATATTAGAAATGCTGTTATTGGTATTGTTGTTATTGGTATTGTTGGTATTATCAGTAGTATTAGTATTAATAGTACTGTAGAACTGTTTGTATCGATAATGCTATTGGTCCTATTTGTGTTACTACGTTACTAACATTGTCAATATTAGTAGCCGTATTCGCACTGTTAATATTATTCGTATTCTTATTAGTGTTTTACACAGTATTAACATTATTTTTTGTCACACACCTGGCTCGCCAACATTATTAGTAGTATGAATACTCGTACAATATGTTGTGATTACTTATATTGGTGGAAATATGAAGACTCTTTTAATATAGGAAAACGTTTTGCAGTATGCGTATTACTTACTGTTATTGGTGATACGGGGTGCGTGAATATTCCGAATACTGTTAGTACCATTCATATTGATATTTTTGCTATTTTTATAAGTATTATTAGCAATACTACTAGTGTTAGTAATGCTATTGTTATCATCATTGTTGTCATTGCTGCTGCGACTACTACTACTACTACTACCACCACTACTACTACTACTACTACTACTACTACTAGTACTATTGGTGCTGTCCACAGCAATCGAGGATTATAAGGCAATGGCAGGGGACTCGAGGCGTCAGCCGTGGGTTAGAATTTAGGGATTTAGGGTCTAGGCCTTGGTGTTTTTTGACGAGCACTCTCGCACGGTGCCAGGCAGAGTTTGAAGACGATACAGGACATGAGGGCTTGGGGCTTAATAGGGTTTTTGGTCTGGTCTTGAGGATAAATTCATAAAGGGTCTAGGGTTTTGGCTTGGACCAGATACAGCATCATGAAGCTGGTGGCTGATGGTAGTGGTGCAGGAACAACCGCCTGCATCGCCACTGCTGCCCCAATCCCGCAGGCCTGAATCCTTAGCGCCCTAAAAACCCCCAGAACCCTCAATCCCAACTCCCTAACCCTGGAATCCCGAGAACCCGAATCCCAACCCCAAACCCTAAACCCCAAAAGCCCAGGAGCCCTCCAACCCTAACCCCCCCCCCCAAAACAGCCCCTCGAAGCGGCCTTCTCCGCTGACCCCATGCGAGCCGAGGCAGACAAGGCCGCGCCGGCGAGGGCATCCTGAGACACGGACACCGCCGAGCGCCTCAAGGAAAAGGGTAGTTCTCAATTTTAGGGTCCTTCTTAAGGGTGCCGCACTATATTGGACCTAATCTAGAGAACTACCCGAAAAATGGCCCGGGAACAAGTTTCAGGAGCTGGGGCTTGAGGGTGTTAGGATCTAAGGTTTTGGGTTTGGAGGAAACCATGAGGGAACTCCTCCGAAACACTGCTTCAGCCGCCGGACTCTTGAGAAATGGGGCGATGGCTGGGTCGGAACACGAGGCACGAACGAAGACCGGGATCCGGGTTCCCAAAGTAGGGGCCTTAATAACTAGAGTAGGGTTTGGGGCATATGTGAAACAAGAGTTATAGTAAGGAACCCCCAAAAGAATGTAGGTAGTTGTTGAGGCCCCAACATTAGCCATCAAAGTCGCGCCCAACCTCGAAAGTCCACGAAAGCGAAATTCCTGACTCAGTCCTGGCTCTAACTCTTAGGTTTGGCTGGACAACTTTAGACCATTTCAGATCGCAAGCTTGCCGGAGTTGACCCCGCCAAACAAGCATGGCCATCGGCAAACTCACTCATACAAAAAACCAGCTACTACTGCCTGAGACTCCCACGTCAAACCAGCCAGAAACCTAGACCCATAAGTCTCCACACAACCCTGCGCCGCCTAGAAAACAAAGCTTCTGCCCCTCTCCAAACTTGCTAAACCCTAAACCCTTATATAATTCTCGGGGCACAGCTCGCCCATGAGACCGACAATGCGGTACCACTGGTGGCTGGCGGCATAGACGTGCGCCACCTCACAGACAGCCGTGACTACCCCAAAAAGCTCCCACAACCCTAAAATACCTTAAGGGCTCAGGGCTGAGTGAGGGATCTTTACCCCTTAGTACCTTACACGGCTTAATTAGGCGTCAGGGCTCGAGGTTTTTGGGTTTAGGGCGTAGGGTTTAAGGCTAGGCTTTGGCAGACCGAGGGATGCTCACCATGACTTAAGGCTTCTATTCCTTACATTAATGTAGGATTTGGAGTTTAGGGTTTCGGGTTTAGGGTTTCGGGTTTAGGATTTAGGGTTTAGGGTTTAGGGTTTAGGGTTTAGGGTTTGGGCCAGAATAATTAGCATCGGATTTCGGGGGTTCCTTGTTATGATTCTAGTACAATGCACCCCAAACCCTATTCTAACTATGGCGGAGTTCTGGGACCCCACGGGTTTGATGCTCCTGGTGCCTTCAAGGGGCCCTCTACAAAAGACGCCTGAATAACTCGATCAGTAGGGTTTAGGGTTCAGGCAGTAAAACTCTGGCTGCCAAAACAGCTACAAGAACCGAAACTTATCACAAATTGCCCAGATATGGTTGCGCCCCGCCGGCAGAACCATCCTAAACCCTAAACCCTAAACCCTAAACCCTAAACCCTAAACCCTGCGTGAGGGCTGTTGGGTGCTCCAGGGCGTCAGATTCGGACAATCAGTTCATTAAGCGGAATTCAGATGCGGGGTGTGGGGTTTGCTTTGGGGTTAGCCGGTTTAGGGTGTAGGGTTTAGGGTTTAGGGTTTAGGGTTTAGGGTTTAGGGTTTAGGGTTTAGGGTTTAGGGTTTAGGGTTTGGGGTTTAGCTTTAGCTTGGTTTTAGACCAAAGGTACCGAGCGCAAAACAGAATGCCCCCGAGGCTGGAGGTCTTCAACCGGAGAAACTAAAACAAGTCGGAAGATGTTGAACGATCATAACCCCAGATCCTAAGCCCAAACTCTGGCACAAAATTCCACCTGAAGCGGTAGGGTTGATGATTTAGATGTTCTACTCCTGTCGGGCCCCTTTGTCCTGTCCTTTTGCGCTCGACCTACGCCTCCGGACTGGAGATATTGACTTGGGCTGTGAAGTAAAACAGTACTGAAGGATTCGCACATACATACATACATACATACATACATACATACATACATACATACATACATGCATGCATGCATGCATGCATGCATGCATGCATGCATACATACATACACATAGATATGCATGTGTATGTACAGTTATATATATATATATACATACAGAGAAAAGGACATATATATATATGCAAAGACACACCAATACCCACATATTATGTACAGAGAGGTGTGTATGTATGGAGATCAAGACAGATACAACATCATATACATACATGCAATTCTACACAGGTTCAATCACATTCATGCAGATAACTGCAAAGACATACCGTTTCTTGTGTCACACCCAAACGTTCATCTACTCGTTTAGCCTGGGATTCAATCACTCCTCGCAGTCACTGCACACCCAGGCACGTAACTTGCCATCAACGGTCCAGTGAGAATCCGGCGCCGCATGTCCTTCCCAACTGCCTGCTTCAAGGGTCTCTTGGTACACTTCCGGATGTCTGCGCGTCATCTTTGGGCAAGGGCCATGCTAATCAAGGCGAAAGTTGGGGGGGTTACAGCTGAGGGGCAGTCAGCCAGACGCCTGGACGAAACGACTTTCAGCAAGCCCAAAGGGCGCAAGTGACCCTACACCCCGAACCAGACGCGCAAGCCCTAAACCCCAACCCCTAAACCTTAAAGCGCAAAGCTCATCGTCTCACCCAACACCCGATCCTGAACCAGGGTTTCGGGCTTAGGGTTACAGGTTTGAGGCTTAGGGTCCGCAGCAACGGTTAAAGTTCAGGGTTTAGGGTTTAGGGTTTAGGGTTTAGGGCTTAGGGTTTGGGGACATTGGGGACTCTAACTTCTACAAACCGCCCAGGCCTCAGCTAGGGTTTAGGGTTTAGCTTTTGGGAGGTAGAGTGCACGGCGTAGCCAAAGCTCCTAAGACCACAAGACTGGCTGGAAAACCCCTGCCCGGTTTAGGGTTTAGGGTTTTAGGGTTTGAGAGTTTGGGGGGGTTTAGGGTTTGAGATTTTAGGGTTTGAGAGTTTGGGTTTTAGGGTTTAGGGCTTAGGGCTTTAGGGTTTGGGAGTTTGGGGGTTTAGGGTTTGAGGGTTTAGGGTTTGAGAGATGGGGTTTAGGGGTTTAGCGTTTAGGGTTTCAGAGTTTGGGGTTTAGGGTTTTTAGTGCTTAGGGTTTGAGAGTTTAGGGTTTAGGGCCTTAGGGTTTAGGGTTTTAGGGTTGAGGGTGTTGGGGTTTAGGGTTTGAGAGTATGGGGTTTAGGGTGTTAGGGTTTGAGAGTTTGGGGTTTAGGGTTTTAGGGTTAAGGGTTTGAGAGTTTGGGGTTTAGGGTTTTAGGGTTTAGGGTTTGAGAGTTTAGGGTTTAGGGGTTTAGGGTTTCGGGTTTAGGGTTTTGGGGCTTAGGGTGTGAGAGTTTGGGGTTTAGGGTTTTGGGGTTTAGGGTTTGAGAGTTTGGGGTTTACGGTTCTAGGGTTTAGGGTTTGAGAGTTTGGGGTTTAGGGTTTTAGGGTTTAGGGTTTGAGGGTTTACGGTTTAGGGTTTTAGGGTTTAGGGTTTGAGGGTTTAGGGTTCGGGGTTTTAGGGTTTAGGGTTTGAGGGTTGCGGTTTAGGGTTTAGGGTGTAGGGCTGGAGGGTTTGAGGGTTTAGGGTTTAGGGTTTTACGGTTTATGGTTTCAGGGTCCACCGTTTAGGGTTTAGGGTTTAGAGTTTAGGGTTTTAGGGTGTAGGGTTTAGGGTAACCCTACATCCCCACGCAACGCACAACCGAATGCCGCAGAAACCCCCACAAACCATCACCATTATCATCTTTCTTATTCTACCCCGTAGTTTCCCAGAGGCTCCGAAATCCCATAATCAAGAAATGTGCCTTAAAGTAAAGAGAAATCCTTAACTAATTATCACGGCTACCTAAACCCCGAGCCCTAAAACGCCTAAACCCCTAAACCCCCAAAACCCCAAAGCCCCCAAAGCCCTAAACCCCGAAACGTCAAAAGCCGAAAGCCCCAAAAACCCCAAAATCCGAAAGCCCCTTCACCCCTACACACCAACACCCGAAAAACCCTGAGCCCTAAACCTTACACCTTAAACC